TAGGGTGTATTTTTGGTAACCCCCCTTTCAAAACTTTTTTTTTTTCCCCCGATGGGGGGTTTTTTTTTTAGTGAGGGGGTACGGGGGTACCGTCCCCTTGTATCTTGGACCCCATGTTGGCCTATCTGACGCTGTCCACCTGATTTTTGGGGGTTTGGGTTTTTTGGGCACTGGAAAGCTGGCCTATTAGAGTGGGATGGGGAGAGGATAGGCGGTCCCCCTTTTTTTGTGCCGGGGCACGGTTACCAGGGAGGTGGGAGCCTAACCCGAGCCCCTGGGGGGGGGTGTGGGATGCAAAGGTAGTAACCTTTATTCGGGCTGGCACACCCTATTTACAGGGTATCTCCCCCAACCCGGAACCAGGTTGCTAAGATTGATGTGGGGCCCCCTCGTTTTAATAGTGACCGGTTCTAGCCCTAAAAAGGGGGTTTTACAAATCGCAGAGGTTATGTGGATACCCCCTCCTGTCTGCCCTTGTCATTTCCCCCTCTAAATGGGTTTAAACACTCTGCTATCTTGGGCTTCTATTTCTGCCTTGCTTGTGGAGTGCACTTTTTTTTATCATGTAAATTTGTGTAATTTGCTGTTCTAAATTGGGGAAGGTAATAAAGTCTAAACTTTTTTCTGTGTTTATTTGCTCCCCCTTACACCGGGATAAAAGGCCCCTTTTAAATCCTAGGGTTTTAATAAAACAGGACCGTACTTTTTCTGGTATTTGTGAAGACATACAAAGGAAAAGATCCGAAGTGTCCTGTTTGCAGACATGTATGAGAAAAATTCAATCGGACAAGGACCCCGGCAGGACTAAAAAAAATCTGGACAGGTGCAGGGCCCGGTCCACAATTGGCTCCCGAGTTTAACCCACCGTGCAAAGCTGAGATTGGGGGGAAGGGCAAAAAGACCCGACGGAAATCGTCTAGGGGCCAGAACTACAAACCTCCTCAAGGGAAAAAAAATTGGGGGGGAGTATAAACCTGGTACATTCCTGGGGCACTCAACCAAATAACGCCGCGTATGGGGGCCCGGCAACCTGAAGCATTCACCATCTTAAAATGGAATCATTCAGGACCCTGCACACTGTGTACATTACCCAAATTTTGGGGTATGCGCACCAGTTTGGGGAAACCCCCATCTAGCCAAGCATATAAAGAAGCTAGAGAAAGTGCAAAGGTTTGCAAAAGATGTCCCGACTAGGGGGTTGTCTTACGAGGAGGGTTAAGGGAAATCGACCCGACGACAAAAGGGGCAAAAGGAGGGGAGACAGGTAACGGCTATAAATACGAGAGGAATTGACAAGGTGGACAGAGACAGAGTGTTCCAGAGATAGGAACGCAACAAGGGGACCAGTTGGAAACTGAAGGCACAGATGAATCAAGGGATGTTAGGAAGTTTCTTCAGTCACAGGTAGTCGGGGGTGGTAGTTTGGGAAGGATGTATTGGGGCATGATCCATTATACTTTAAGTGAGGGTTGATAAAGTCATGGTTCAGGGGGAGGACCCGTAGTTGTCAGTGAAAAGGCGGGGCCCGAAACTAACTCGCCCTGCAACCAAACTAGGTGGTACAATTAGGGGAGTCTGTTTGGTGGGGACTACTGCTGCATAAGTCCCCAATTTCTTTTTTCCTTTATTGTTATAACTGCTTACTTTTAGTCCTACCATGAAAAAAGAAATGGTTCTCATTGTTAAAGCACCACACGTGCATTTCCATTAAAGAAAGGGGGCTTTTTAAACCCCTGTTGCCCGAGCTCAGCCGTGATGAAGGGGGAAAATGCTTTATTATTACGCTAAAATCAACACTTGGTTATTAGCTTAACACAATTGATGTAATAAATAATAAACAAAAATAAATAAAAAAGTTTAAATACCCAGAAAAGAATAATTTTGGCAAATACCATGCAGTTTAACAGAGGAAAAAGGGAAAGGGGTACAGCCCCCCATTTCCTATTCCTTCTTTGGGGGGTTATATTAGAGAAAAACGAGAAGCACAGGGCTAACGTGATATACTTCGACTCACCCTAAAAAGAAAAAAAAAAGTTTTTTTCTCACACAGATTATCACACATGGACTAGTGTAAAGAGCCTAGGGTTAACCAAAAAGTCGACAAAGTGCTTTTTTCAGTGCCTGGTTTTGGGGTAGCCCCAAATTTAATTCCCCCAGGGTAGAAAATTGGGCATGTTTCTTTACAAAAAGTTGTCTATGTTCACCCATCAGTAAATGGGTACTTGGGTGTTAGTGGACTGCTGTGGGTCTTATCCTGGGACACTGACCTAATTTGCCTGAAATGCTTAGCATAACAAGGGGCTTTCTATATATTAGTATGTCACTGATGTCAGCTATGGTCTGTATACCATGTATATGTACCTGTAGTAAATAAAGATATTATTATTTTTTATTATTAACACATCGGCCAATTCCTACCAAGGCAGGGTGGCCTGAAAAAGAAAAATTTTCATCATCATTCACTCCATCACTGTCTTGCCAGAGGGGTGCTTTATGCTACAGTTACAAAACTGCAACATTAAGACCCCTCCTTCAGTGTAGACACTGTACTTCCCATCTCCAGGACTCAAGTCCAGCCTGTAGGTTTCCCTGAATCCCTTCATAAATGATACTTTGCTCGCACTCCAACAGTACATCAAGGATTAAAAACCATTTGTCTCCATTCACCATCAAATAGGCTCACGCATACTTGCTGAAAGTCCAAGCCCCTTGCACACAAAACCTCCTTTACCCCCTCCCTCCAGCCCTTCCTAGGCCGACCCCTACCCCGCCTTCCCTCCATACAGATTTATACACTCTCGATGTCATTCTCTTTTGCTCCATTCTCTCTACATGTCCGAACCACCTCAACCCCTCCTCAGCCCTCTGGATAATAGTTTTGGTAATCCCACACCTTCTCCTAACTTCCAAACTACGAATTCTCTGGCATTATATTCACACCACACATTGCCTTCAGACATGACATCTCCACTCTCTCCAGCCATCTCCTCATTGACAACATTGATCACCCACGCTTCACACCCATACAAGAGTGTTGGTACAACTATACTCTCATACATTCCCTTCTTTGCCTCCAAGGACAAAGTTCTTTGTCTCCACAAACTCCTAGTGCACGACTCACCCTTTTTCCTTCATCAATTCTATGATTCACCTCATCCTTCATAGACCCATCTGCTGACACGTCCACTCCTAAATATCTGAATACATTCTCTTCCTCCATACTCTCTCCCTCCAATCTTTCGTCACCTAATCTTGTTGTTATCCTCATAACCTTTTCTCTTTTCCCATATTCACTTTCAATTTTCTT